TTAAGCTAAGAAGGAGGATCCCAAGCAAAGACACTCGGTTTCGGGTTGAAGCCCCGGGAGAATTCGATCGTAGTACCTCATCCAGTGAAATCCGGTTTAAATTTTTTAAGTTAATTAGGTTGAGTAGAAGCAATAACAATTCCGTGCGATTGTTTTAAAATTTTATGTTGAGGCAACGTCTCGGGAGTGGCAGGATGTAAGGACCCTACTTTTTAGCAGCAAATTACCAGCACTCGGTCAATTGGTCATCTACCAAACCAAACTCTTTTGAACAAAACCGAACTACTTTTCCCGGACAATCACACGGAATTTTTATTACTTCCGCTCAACCTAATTAACTTAGATTTTTTTATTCAATGTTACAAAATTCGTAAGCCATTTATCCCATCTTGTATAAAATGACTTTACTTTTAATCTAAACAGAAATCTCACTTCAAATTTACAGGCGTCGCATCGGTGGCAAGGGTACAGTTGTTGCTTCGCCGCCACCAAAGTATATCCATCGCTGCCCCAGTAGTTGGACTAGAATTTCTTGATTAACCAGCAATCTTCTCCTTTGAGTTTTCCGTATCCAACCGCCTGCGTGATCCAATCCATCCAAATTGTTCTTGCATTCTGGTTCGTAGTACACTCCATTTGCGTAGTAGCTGAAAGGCTTGTGACCGGCATCGATAGCAATCGACCGCCCTCGGAAACCTACATTTTGAATTTAAATGTGAACCGAGAAGTGCCGAAAGTATACCGATGGATGTGTCCAAGCTGTGTCGAATATACTTTCGGCACACTGTGCAGAGTGACTTATCCCTTGCATGTCCCACTTTTTGTTTTATTTCGTCTACTTTGGATCACTTTGACGTTTCTATATATTAAGTTTACCTAAGTAACCAACAAGCCCGTTAATCGCCCTTTTTGCTATATAAGGCTGCTATACAACTGATATAAAGTTCGGAAACCCTATATTTACCTTATATCGCAAAAAGGGCGATTATCGGGTAGTTAGCGGTCTTGGTGGTTACTTGGGTACCTTGAATGCAACATTGTTTGCGAATTCGCAGGGTAGCTTTTTGCCGCGAGAAGCTCGAGAGATGTCGTTACTGAGGTTCTATTTATTAAGTACAACGTTTTCAAGAAAAAAAAATTATTTAAAGCGTTACGTCTGTTTGTCTGTGGTTTGGGTGTATGTAAATGTTAAGGGCTTAAGACTTAATCTTAGTCCGGATAAGTTCTGTTCTTGGTATGTTGCGAGGATTCTGGGGGTCAGTATGAAGAACCTTGTTGATGGTTACAGAGGGCTTCACAGACTGGTTTGAAGGATGTCTTGATCAGCCATAAGGATTTTTAGAGACGGGTTTAATTAACTTTTTCGACAAATGATCTTGAAGGTTCAAAGGACTGCGAGGTAACGAATTCTTTGTCTAATAATCTTTTAGAACATATCTATAGTAACTCTGATTGGGGACTGCAGAAGATATGGCAGGTGCGTAGAACTTCAATAGTAAGTCAACATTCATTTCAGAACAAGTTCAGAGAAACCTGCGGTTCTGCTAATTCCGTGTAATTATCCTACGTTCTCTGAACTCCCGTACCCCTTAAGACTTATGTATTTCATCACAAAGTTTGTTTTTCTTGTCTTAGAAGTCACCGTCAATCTAAGATTATGTTTTAAAGTTCACATATCTTCCACCATTCAGAAATCCTCTAGCTATCGTGATTAATTCTGATTTTGAATTAATCTGCATTTGTACTAAAAATCCCTGGCAGTTATTTAAAACGGCTCATTTGGTTCAGTTATTTGATGATCTTGGAGAACATGTTTGGATACGCCAATGGCAAATTTAGACTATCGAAAATCCGATGAAGTTCTGATTCTGGATCCGAGTCTGGTCTAGGTCATGTTAGAAAGTCTTCTGGAGACGGTTTGAATATTACTTGTGATGACAACTTTAATTTCACATAAATCAGTACATTACATGAAATTTTGCTTACAAAGGGCAGTCGTATACACTATTTGCAGTATTACATTCAATATCTCAAAACGTTACTCGATTTATAATGTAAACTTGTATGATATGTAACGCTCCTTTTATGTGCATCATATTGAACAGCAATTTACACTACTTTTTCGAATTGTGTAGGGATTTCAGTAGTGAGTTCAATCAATCAAGAATTGTGATTGTAGAAGTTCACGGAGATGTTTTGAAAATTTCTAGGAAGCCCTCTACAATGTTGAAGTGCCGTAGATTTTTCTTTTATGTGATTTGAGGTTTCAGGGGACGTTGAGAGGAAATCAGGAGCACTTTAAAGGATATTTTTAATAGATTAGAATTCGTGAATATTAACATAATACGTATTTCGAATTATAATAAAGTAGCTGAACAACTAAAGAAACTCCAAAACTATTAAAAAATTTCAATTTCAGTTTTGCATGGTCTATTTAAAAGATTTCATATTTTAGAGTTTGGCTTTTTAGGACTGTTTCGTCATGTCAGCAAGTTCAACAGCATTTTGACGCTTATTTGTAACGTTGGTGATTCGAAGGTTCTTTTTAGTATTTTTGGGGCAATATTGACGTTTTAGTTGTTGAATTTATTACGGTTTGTCATTTTCTAAAGCTTTTTTTGTAATAATATTATCTCTGGATCAAAATTAGACCTCGACCGACTTTGGTTTTTTTTAAATTGCACCCCTCATGTTGCCTTAAAAAAATGGTATGTTAGATTTAAACTTATGGAAACTGACATCCAATTAATGACTATTAGGGTGTTCAACACAGATGAGGCTGGTGAGCTGTATGTTTTTTTGGAACGAGGATGACGCGCTTGGCATAGATGGCCGACAGTGGCTCACGACGAGCTACTGAATCCGATCAGTAGCGGTGCGGCTTCATCCTCCTTCTTCGGTGAATCGAAGGATCTTGAGGGCAGACTTCATAGCTAGCTGCTTCCGGGAAGTTTTTCTTTGTGTACTGCTGCTGCTGATAATGGACACCACCATACGTTGTGGTTGAATAAGCACCGTTCGGCGATACCGGATGGAATTTGAATTTGAATCTGAGTTAGGAAAAGCGCTTTTTGTAGGAAATCGGTGATAATTTTGATACCATTGCAACAGTTGGACATTTGTGTAATGTTTAACAGTGACCTATTTAAAAATGATAAAGTGTTCACTTTAAAAGATTTGTAGAAAAAATTTCAATCGATTGGCTTGTTTAGAATTAAATTCCATCCGCTATTGATAGAGTTATAAGTGGTCAAAACCTGACCACTTTTCGTAATGCGGTCGATTTTGTTTTTTTGAAGTTGCACCTCTCATACGTTGCCGAAAGACGTAATCCTACGTCAAAAAGGAGTTTGGTATATAAGCTGGCATTGAGACCACGAGCCTCTGCTCAGTAAGCAAAAACGATCACTACTAGAGCACCAAGATCCTTACATCACATCAAAACACTGTGACCAACGATTTCGATCTCACTTTTCTCAAAGTGGGTCGCATCCAACTAAAGTTAGATACCAAGGCTGAAATACTCTTTTTAAAAGTCAGAGTACCAAGGCTGCAAACTGCGTGTCAATGCTGTGACACAGCACCGAGAGCGAGCTCACAGCATCGACACGAAGTCTGCCGGCTTGGTACTCTGAGCGTTAATAAAGAAAACTAGCTCTCTAACTAAACATGGAGTACCACTGCTCTAGGCTTGCACAAGAAGTCCACGATATTTTCTTTGGGAGTCCTTACTTACTTTCCTTTGGTCTACTCTACTGGATGTGCTCTAGCTTCCTATCAACTTACTTACAAAACCCTTTTCAGCTTGTAAGGAAAGTCCTCTGATGTTGCTCTGAAAGTTTGCTGTAGTTGCTCGGGAAGTAGATTTATCCTGTCTTTGAAGTAGGTATTCTAAACATGCTAATAATGTCATCTGAACTCGAATTCGCTGAAACGCCCTCCAACTCTACCAAGGAAATCTATAATGCCCTCTTAACATTCCTGAGATATCCGCTTAACCTGATCAGATAGATTCACGGACTTGCTTGAGTCTTCGTAGTACGCTAGTACGTTTTTTCTAAAGGTTTCTAGATGTTCCTTTTCTCTTGCTAAGAAAATCATTTGTAAGCAAAAACGGTTTGAAGTTAGAATGGTCCCAGCTAAGGACTATAGACAGTACGCTTGATATGGTGTCTCCTTTTTTGCCAAGCCGAAGACAGCCGGTTTGATTCACCCGGTCAAGGAAATCTTTCGGGTTGGACATTTCCTCGACTTCCATGGGCATAGAGTATCATTGTGCTTGCCACAAAATATACACATTCATGCATTAGTTGGCATACTTAGAAAGCACTTTCTTAATAACTGAGGATGCGCATCTAGAACACTTATTTGAAAACCGGCAAAACGCTCGTCAAATAAGTGTAAAAAGTCTAGAAGAAAAGAATGTCTTGCTTATTTCAGAGCATTCCAAATTTGTCCCGATTTTATATTTCATCTGAACCAGATTTCCTTGAAACTGACCTGGTTGGGTGTAAATGATTGACACGCGATTGAATTTCTATCAATCAACAACGCACATCCCTCTTCAAGTCTAAAAAGGTATATATTCAAACACCCGACTAGTAAAAGTCAGTAACAGCAGTCATTGTTCCCAAGATACTGCTTATGTTAAATTTTGTAACTTTGTTCATAGAATTTTCGCTTGGCTATTGACGCTCTTCAATGAATATTCAAGACGTTAACCACTGGAACTAGAACCACGATGAAGACCTTGATGGCTTCGGATTCAAGCTCTCCATTCCTGTATCGAAAAACTAGGTCAGACGCCTCTGCGTTTGATCAATAAAGCACACGCATCATATGCAAACTGTACAACTTTGTTGCACCCATAGACCACCACAACCAGTGGCAGTGCAATTAAATCCTTTCGGGGCACTTCTGCCAACCTTTTCGCCCCATGTCCCCATCACATCACATGTATAAATAATAATTGTTCTATTCCACTGTATCTAATTTTTCAGATTTCCTCTCGGACAAAATCGAAGACACCGGCCTGCGGGTAAACGGTAAGGGCAAGAAAATGCGCAAACCCCGCACCATCTACAGTTCCCTACAGCTGCAGCAGCTCAACCGAAGATTTCAACGAACGCAGTACCTAGCATTACCGGAGCGGGCGGAACTGGCGGCCAGCCTCGGGCTGACGCAAACGCAAGTAAGTTTCGTCCCCTTCCCTGACATTCGAAGCAGAGAAAACCATAATCCTGGGAGAAGATGTACGAGATCCCCGTTGCAGCGTGTCCTTGATCGTAATTCGATTAAATCGCAGAATAAATATTTTGATTGTTCTCTCTATTTTCGGGGGGAATGCAAAAACAGCGCATTCCCATTATTAGATTTATTAAGGCACAAATCAAAATCGACATAATATGACTAATTTGATTTGGTCGACCCCCTGCCTACCCGCTGTTGATAGGGGGTGCCATTCCCATTTTGTGGTTCCACAAAATTTGTGAATTTTCCCGCCCGAGCAGCAGCAGTCGTCGTTTTCTTTTCAACAGAGACACCGCATTTTTCTCGATTAGCTTTTTAAACTTGAGCTTCCCCCGAGTTCCATATCACTCAATCAATGTCCTGCCGTGACTGTTGTGACGTGGCATGAGCGGCTCTGGCGGACGGGGCGGGGGAGAGTGGTTGGTAAACAACTGCTTCTACTGCTGCCGGCACACAGTTGGAGGTCTTACACTTGAGTTTTTCTCACCCCTCTCTACTACAGGGGTGGACGGGGTGGAAAGTATGGTTTTAGGGTAGGATGTTATTCCAGAGCAGAGCAGAAAGGAAAAATCAACCAGGGCAGACAAAAAACTTGACTTTTATATGAATTTAACATGACATCGGGCGATTGGATCGGTGTGGTTGGTTGGTTGAGAACTGAAGGACCTTCCCCTCACTACTGCTAAATACCACATTTTGGTGTTCCTCGGTATTTGGGGTTTTCATTGTTTGATTTTTCGGGAGGGAAATGCTCCGAAAAAACCCAAGCCAATTAGGTTGCATTAAGGCTGTCTGTGAGTGTTCGGGCTGAACTCTGTTTTGGTTCCAGATTGGAGTGGGAAATCAGTTATTCACGCGATGATTCGGTGTTTCCGTTCTTTTTTGGAAATTCAATTCCAGAATATTTGAATGGGGTTGGGAGTTGGGGTTTGAATATGGCATTTTCATACCGAGGGTGAAAAGTTTCGTACGTTTAACATTTTGAGCTATGGGTTTCCTAGCGTTCTTAATCTTATTTCTTAAAATTTATCTTTTGTTGGATTCAAAGACTTCACGTTGAAGTCATCAAGAAGACCCAAGCCGTCTGGTTTCTTGATTCCGGGTCGTAAAACTTGCATCACAAGTTAATCTTTTCCTCTGCCGACTCAAACACTCAATCAACCAGTTAAGCAGTAGGTACCGCATTTCACCACAACACCAAGCTGTCAGTTTTCATCGCACACAAGCGCTGCTCTCTCGATTGTGTACTGTATCGGGTTCCGATTTGATCTCCCCTCTTCCATGCATCCAAAACAGCCGACGAACCGCTTGAGCCAAAACAAATTGAATTAACCAAACTCCCGCCCACCGTCAATAAATTCAAATTAAAAACAAAAGAGGAAAGCAAACCCCCTTCCCCTCCCGGTACCGACTTTCCGACTACATGGTGCTTAAAGTAAGGGACGGGACGACGGATGGAAAGTTTCAACCGACGACGACGACGACGACGCAACGCGTTTCGAAATTTGAATAATCATCTTCATCAGTCCGCGATGAAGCCGATGATGCCGATGTTGGAGGATTTGGTAGGATTTCAATTGATAACGCGTCGTCGTTAACGAAGGGGCTGGTTTGTCCGTGCCATGGCGAAAGCAGGTCGCGTCTCACATTTAGCCCGATGATAAATGTACTGTTGTGGCATTGCACCCCGGAATAATTTAGTGCCGACGTTGAATCTCGGTTCCAATCTCCGAATGCAAACACAGTGCGCAGTCAGTGTGCGTAGGTGTTTGTTTCATGTTCCCAATCGTACACGGGGTGCTCGGAGCGGTAGCGGCTGCACACTGCTTAGCTACTTTGCTACCAGCTAATTCAATTTAATCCAATAAAGCGTCGAGTGTCTCAGGAAGCGTTAAAAATGAGCCCATGTCAGACCGAATGTGGGGTTAAATTAATTTAAATTAACGATCGATACGACCGTCGTCGTCGTCTTCGTTGCTCGCTACACCAATCAGAAGCCGTAGCTGCACGGTGGGAAGACAACTCTCGCACTCTTTGTTCACGATTGTCGTCGCTCGGTCTCTCTTTCCTCGAGATGACAGCCGTTTTGTATTCATATCTGTAGATCTTGGAGGATCGGATACGCTACCCAGGCCGGTGAGGTCGTGAGGAGGAGAATGGGACCGCCATTTTCTTCCAGAAGCGTAAACAACTTTTGTTTTAGCGTGAGAAAAGCACATTCATTTTCACGACCCTGCTGCGGTAGAGGAGTTCCATGTTCAAATCTATAGCTTTGGATCTCCCTAAAGACCCGATGTGGAACATGGCGGCGGTGGTGGTGGCAATTTGGAGGTGAAGAAGAAATGCCTAAAACGGTTCTGCTGCCGGTTTATCGTGGGTCGTTGGTGCAGCGGAATTACGTAAGATAAATGTTTGCATATGGGAACGATTGGTGGTAGCAGCAGAGTGGTGCCATTTGTATATGGTTAGGGCAAAAGTTGCTAGGTTAGATTTGCTGCATAATGTAGTTTGGATGGGCAATACCAGTCCAGTTGACTATATGTAATTGCATGAATTTTGATTGAAATCTATTTGAGATACGGTTATAGCTAATACTTTTTTTCGTTTATAGGAAAGATGGCCCTTCCATGTTTGGTTTAGGTTTCAAAGTAATCTTAAGTGGCAGAGTGCGCAATGCGACATCCAATGCTCGGATCATCCAGGTATCTTCAAGAAGCACATGCACAGGCTACAGCACAACATAATGTTGTGCTGTGAGCTTTTACACGGCCAATGAGAACAACCCACATTTGAGTCTGGTTTACTCATAACAGCCAAAAGTGTAGGAAATCAGCGATAAGTAAATTGGAAAACCTCAAAAATCTGCCGGAAAATGAGATAGATTGACTACAATTTTACTCAATCTAGGAGTACTACCAATAGACTAAAGGAATCCAATCTTTACTTTTCTCATATTCGGGATTTTGACGTAGGACGGCAAAAAAACCTAAATCGACCGCGTTACAAAAAGTGGTCAGGTTTTGACTACTTATAACTCTGTCAATAGCGGATGGATTTTCATTCTAAACTAGCCAATCGATTAGAATTTTTCTACAAATCTGCTAAAAATGAAAACTTTATCATTTTCCAATAGGTCACTATTGAAAATTACACTAATGACCAACGGTTGCAGCCCAAGTAACATTGCAAGTTTTATTAAGGTTTTAAAGCACTCTACAAGTTTAAATCATGGTCTACAGAATCCTCATAAAACCCAAAATGATACTTGGGAATGGTGATCAAAACTATTACCGGTTGCCAGCAAAAAGCGATTTCCCTAATACAATCGCCGAATATTGATACCGAGCATGAAATCTTACGTCAAATCTACGGTCGTGTCTTGGATACAACCTTTTGCTTTTTTTTCTGAAACAAACCAGGGAATCCTAGAAAAACATAAGGCAAATTTACTCATCGCTGAGTTCCTGCACTTTGTTCGATTTATGAGTAAAATATACTCAAATTTTGGCCGTTATCATTGTCCGTGAAGACTTCTGGTTGGATTTTTTTCAGAGCAAGGGCCCAGATCCAAACACCAAATTTGAGAGACGTGCGATGTGCAGAAGTGAGCCCAAATACATACAGTTCTGTGAAGTTTAAAGCATATTAAAATGTAAACAACTTCACAATCGATTGAAACGAAAACGGAAGCTATGAATACGCAATATTAAAACGATGGAATGCTCCATAAATCTTGTAAAAATGCTCCTTCACTGCGTAGCTACTCAAATTTACGTCGTTCCGCTCCTCTGACTAAAGAAAACACGGGGAGGGCAGTAAATCTGACTAGCACGTAAAGGCGCATTTTTCCATGTTTTAGGAGGACCATTTTCTCAAACGAAAACCACGCTTGGGATGATATTTTCTGGGAACGATTATAATACAGGAAGTCCCCAAATGCCGCGGTGGTCCACCCACCACAATTTCTCGGCTGTCCTCCATGCAATTGGGTTCTTTAACTTCGAAAAAATATACCGATTTTTATACATCATCTGATAGAGCTTCGCTTTCTGTACACAACCATATTTTTAACGATCCTGTAGGCATTCATTTCGATTTTTAAATCAAGATTTAAATTTTTGATAGTTGACACTAAATCTATTCGTTGACAGCTCACTCCCATACAAAGTCCCACCAAGGGGCGCTAAAATGATGACTTTCAAGTACAAAACATCAAATGTCTAAAACCAGAAAAAAGCACTAGGACGACTCTCTTGCCGAATGAACCAATTGGCAAATCTTTGTTGGAACTTGGCCATACCCACTCGTTCCCAACCTTTGACATTGGCGCACTCGACTGTAGGTGAAAGTTTCCCCTATCCGATGATGGTGTTGGTTTGCTTGGGTGGTCTTTGCTTTGTGAGTAAAGGGCTTTGGAACGGTTTGTTTACAAATGCTGATGGGCCCTTTTCTATTGTTGATCCAGATTTGATTTCTCATCAAAATACAGTACGAAAGCGGCTCTTCAAAATGATGTCTAAGACAAAGTTGTAGAAACCAAAACAGGTGAATATATAAACAAGAACGATCTCACCAAATGAACGACGGTTGAAGCAAAAACTTGGAAGACCGTTGCATCTCCTAGTTCTAGCTCAACACTTCAAACCATTCCTTCGGATCTTCATTGAAACTCTTGCACAATCCGCCTCCAATCGAATCAGAATCATCGGGCCAGCTTGCCAACCGCCTAATAACAGTTCTGACGAAAAGGATGCTGATAAAAAAAAAACACTTCGAAATGCATTTTAACCGATCACTTGCACTTGCTTTGCACTTAAGTTCTTTTCTAGAACTAGGCTATCGAGTGGCACAATGTTTTCCTTTTAAAAACGCGTAGGTACTCAGATTTACTGTTCTGTTTGTGTTTTTTTAGTCAGGAGAGTGGAGCGCCGGACAAGCTCC